TCTTGCAAATAGTTCATCATGTCTGGCTTGCTTGCTTTCTACCGCCAGGTAAGAATTGAAATACTCCTCGGAGATGGCCTGTTTTCAGTGCTAAAAGTTCTTGCTGTCTGCTCCTTTATTTAGCATTTCTACTGCATGTCCAAAAGTTCATTTTAGGGTTGGAGCAGCCGGTAAAGATTTTACTTTTAGATGGAACAGCCGACCTCTCAGAGCATGAGAAAACAAATTTTTTTTTGCTGCTTTCTATTCCAGTTCACCTTTCCATATCTCCGTGAATAGGTTAGTATCTTCATAAATAGTGATAGCCCTCAATTTACAACAATTGAGACCAGAATTTCCGTTGTTAAGCAGGGCAGTTGTTAAGAGAGTCATACCTGATTTTACAACCTTTTTTTGCCAAGCAAATCACTGCAGTTGTTAAAGTGTATCACATAGCTAAGTGAATCCAACTTCCCTTGTTGACTTAGCTTGTTGGAAGCCAGCTGGGAAAGTTGCTAATGGCGCTCACATAACCCCAGGATCCTGCAATGGTCATAAATACATGCCAATTGCCAAGCACTTACATTTTGATCACATGACCGGTTGTAAATCACTTTTTAAAATGGCATTTCAACTTTGAATGGTGACTAAATGAATGGTTGTAAGCCAAGAACTACCTGCATGACATTTAGGAATGGCAGTTGGGGCCAGCAACTCAGTTGTTAAGCAAAAACTGTTTTCTCAAGAAATGTTCTCATGGAATCCTAGAATTGAATGGCATGATTTAGGCTGCCCTCTATTCAATTCCTTGTGAAAACAGTGAATGGAATAATAGTGCAAAGGAATTGCATTTCACAATTTATAGAGACTGAAGTAGATCACAAAAATGCTGATAGAAGAGGATGTTTGTAGCTCAGGGTTGAACTGTGGGGTCCTTGGTGCTCTCTGAGCTTGGTTGTTTTCTTTGCAGATGTTCATGACCCAACTAGGTAACATCGTCAGTGCTAGAAGGGAGTAGAGTTTGCTCTCATTTTACATACTAGTGGCTTGCTCTGCCAGTGTTGGTGAGAGTAGACTTGGTGTTTCCTTGATTGGGCTGTTATGTGTGTCTTGGTAGTTGGCCTAGTGTTAATCTTGGCATTCATCTCATCTCAACTGGTGTTGATTGCTGGTGTTTAGGTCACACAAATGCACTGATAAAGACATTTTCCAGTCAGAGTTCTTGCCTTTTGTTTGGTGCATATATTTACTAAGTAGCATTCTACATTTGGAGTCCATGTGTCCTTCAGTATTATGGCTAGGAGGCATCTGGTTGGCCTTCAGGAAAATAAAATACTAGATTCTGGTCACAAAAGAGCTTCCCTTCTTAAATTCCTTTTTCTTAACCGAGGATGTTTTTGTTGATCAGTGTGCTATAATTAGTTTAAGGGCACGCAATGCTAACATAAGGAATATTATTCAAATATATTGCTCTCAGTCACGGAAACATGAATTATTAAACAGAAGGCTATTTGGTCTTCTAATCCCCCCCCCCCCCCCCAAAAAAAATGTTGTATGCACCAGACAATTTCTCCTGCCTTGCAGATTTAAAGTTTGCTATTGAGGGTTTTAAGAATGAAGAAATGGAACAGATTCCTTCCTCTGGATAAGTTGGCATCTACAATGCTTGCTTTCTCTTGCAGTCTTAAGTTGTTCCCACCTGGTAGTAAATAGGTATAGCGTATATGGGAAGTCCGTGAATATTTATAAGCACAGAACATAACTTCTCGTTCAGAGAACTTTCACATGAAAGGAGGCTATCGGCTCTTTAAAGGATCAGAGCACAGAACTTGGAAAGCAAGTTTTAAACTTTCTGAAGAAAGGAGTGGGCTGTTATTATGTGGGGGAAGCAAGCTTACAGCCCGGCTAGAAATTCTTTGGTGCAATTTAGCAGCTTACTTAGACAGCCTTGGATGCTTCTATAAAGCTCAAATGCTGACATCGGGTTAATCAAATCATTGTAGCTTAAGCCAGGAAAACATCAGGAAGGGGGAGAAAAAAGATTAATAGGTGTCCTCTTGAGATTTTTGGAAAAACTTTTACATGCAGTTATTGCTCCATCTTGTTGGGCTTTCAGGGTAGATAAACAGGCAACACGACTAGATGAGCTAAATCATGTTTTGTAAGATTACATGAACAGTCTGAAAATAATAATAATAAAAACTTTCCACTGTCCTTTTTAATTGCTTGATCTGTTCAGGTGGGTCCTTTCTCAGTTTCTTCCTCTAACCATTAAGCACTTGTGGGTTCCTGCCCCTCTTCTCTGTTTCCTAGACACCATTCTTCTCTCTTCAACGTCACCCACATATTCCATCACCGTTTAGAGGCAGTTGGCCTAAGAATACCATTGGTCTCCTTTCCTATGCCCAGATAAGAGTAGTTGCCTTCGACTCTATCTACCAGATGTCCACGGGGACCGGAGAATAGTTGGCTAACTCTAAAAAAGCCTTTAGAAGTCCAGCAAAGGCTAATTTGGGGGCTAATTTTAAAACAAAAGCAGATTACAGATTAACGGAGTTGGAAGGGACCTTGCAAATCATCTAGTCCAACCCCTCACCCAAGCAGGAGACCCTACACCATTTCTGACAGATGGCAGTCCAATCTCTTCTTGAAAGCCTCCAGTGATGAAGCTCCCACAACTTCCGGTGGCAAGCTGTTCCATGGGTTGATTGTTCTCACTGTCAGAAAATTTCTCTCGGTTGAATCTCTCCTTGTCCAGGTTCTATCCATTATTCCTTGTCTGGCTTTCGGGTGCCTTGAAGAATAGGTTGGCCCCTTTCTCTCTGTGGCAGCCCCTCAAATATTGGAGCACGGCTATCATGTCTCCCCTGGTCCTTCTCTTCCCTAGACTAGCCATGCCCAGTTCTTGTTCTTCCAAGTATTTATGCATCTTTCTGGCTAGTCCTTTTGGGTTTTAACTTGGTATGTTGAGCATAAGAAAATTACTGAGCATGCTTCCACACATTACAGGTCAAACCAAACATATGCAGTAAGTTCAGCTTTTCCTCCCTGGACACACGTCCACTGGAGACTTTGGGGAGGCATCCCGCCATCGTCCTCTGTGCTTCCAACGCGAGCAAGGGAGTTTCCCCCTTGCCAGAGCTGCCTTTCCAGACTCCAGCTACTCTTCCGATGACAATTCGGCTCCAAGGCTCTGTCTGCGAATGTGCCAAGTTCCGTTCTTGGCATGCATAGGAGGAAAGACTTGAAATTAACAGTAGCTCCTTCCTGCCTATCAACCAGGTGGCGGAAACTGAGCTGAGAATAAATATTCCATCCTTCTGGCAGTTTTGCTGAAGATCTTGTGGGTTCTTTCCTCTGTTTTGCCAACAAATTTGGTAGGAAAACTCAACACGGTTACAAGGTCTTTGACTTATGACCACAAATGGGACTAGAACATCCATTGCTAAGTGAGATGATAGTTAAGTGACTCATGCCCGATTTTATGACCTTTTTTTGATATGGACATTACGTGAATCCAACTTTTCCTATTAACTTTGTTTGTCGGAAGTGAGTTGTGGATATTGCAGATGGTGATCATATCACCCAAAGACTTTATAACCGTCATAAATGCACCTTCTTCTTCCTAGCTTCCTAGGACCCAGGCAAGAATTCGAGTTTGACATGTCTGGAGCCTTCCCCAGAACTGGGGAAGCTGTTTTTAACCTTCACAGAAAGGCTAAATAAATAAATAAACAAACCAATCAACCAACAAACCGACCGATCGATCAATAAATAATAAAATCTCCACAGGGTGAGAAAACTGTGTGAAATTTGAAATAATTTTTGCGAAAATATATGCCTTAACTTTTGCAAAAAAGCCTTCCTACATTTTTTTTAAAAAAATCAAATTAACTTTTTAAAATTAAATTAAATTAATTTTTTCAAAGCACTTTTTTTAAAAAAAATGCCCTATTTTTAAAAAATATTAAAAGCTATGTCAGATTAAAGAAGACCTAATGGCTGAAGAATAAAATATCACTAGATTAATAACGGATTTACCACAAACACTATATTTAAAATTCATTATTTCAGCTATTATTTTCAGGGCTCCCAAAGCTCCGCCCCCTCGGAGGCGGGGAAAAAGTGAGGAGCGCCCCTTCCCTCGAATCACGTGACCTACTCGTTCCCGCCGTTCGCCTCTGGAAGCCACGCCCCCCCCGGTCCCCCCCCCCCCCCTCCCGCTCGGAGCGACGTCAACCGCCCGAAAGGCGACTTTCAAAACGGACCAATCGCGGCGCCGGCAGGGCGAAAAACAACAGCCGCTGCGGCCAATGACGAGAGGGAAAACTCAACGTCCCTCGGGTTTGCGCTCGCTGATTGGACGTCGTGGCTACCGCTCCTCCCCTCCAAGATGGCGGCGCCCAGCAGAAGAGAGGCGAACGCTTAGTGGGGAGTCGGTCGTGGCGCTTGAAGGGGCAGTGGTCGCTTGCGCCCCTCGCGGCGGGCAAGGAGGCAGCCCCCACCCCGGCTTGGCGAGGCGGAGGAACGAGGCCGCGGCCTTCCGTGTGGAGGGACTTCACGGCGGGGGGGGGGGGGCCCCCCGGGGGGGGGGGGGGATTCCCGTGCGCCCCCCCCCCCCCCCCCCCAGAGCCCCCTCCTCAGTAGTTTTGGGACGCTCTTCTTGCGCCCCCCCTCAAAGAACCCCCTTTTTTCGACCTATGGCATGACCTCTTGCAACCCCTCTCCCCATTTTGAAAGGGGTCCCAGACTGAACTGAATTAAAAGGCTGGACTGGCAGCTTCTCTGGACAGAAAGCAAGAAAGAGTCACGTTCAAATACATTTCAGCAAGGAAGACCCCTGGGGGGGGGGCGAGAAGAGAGGAAAAATCATTCCCCCCCCCCTCGAAGAAGGGGAGGGGTCTTTCCCAGGCTTCCATGGACAGGGCCTAGTGGTTTGCAAGCCCCCCTGCCTCGATTTGAGGCAAGGACTGGCCTCCCTTTGGGGAAAGGAATTGTCCACCTGGGGGAGCCTTAATTTGGACTGGCTGCCCCCGTTTGCCCAGCAAGCAAAGACTTTTGCAGGACTTGGTTGCCAAAGCGTTATTTTTTTCACCCCCTTAACGTAGAAAATTAGGGAGCAAAAACGCACAACGCGCTTCTCCTTCCTGCTGCCTTTAAGAAGCTGGGAAGTCGGCCTCGGCTGGTTCTTGGCCGCGGCTGATTCTTCAAGAGCTCCGCGATGGATCTAGTGTTCCTGGTGATCAACGGCATGGGGATAGTGTTGGATCTGCTGGTAATCCTGCTGGACATCAACTTCTTCCTCGTTTCCAGCTTCCTCTCCATCTTGATCTGGCTCCTCGCCTTCGTTTACAACCTGCCCAGTGCTACGGTGGCCTGTCTGGGCCAGTTCTGGAATGGGATCCTGGTCGTTGTGCTATGCATCCTGGAGGCCTTGTCCTACTTGACCCTGGGGTCCGTGCACGCTGTCCTCAACTTGTTGAGGGGACTCTGCTCCAGCATGGAGAGTTTGAAAGTCTTGGGCCACCTGTTCACCCACCTGGGCTTGAGAAGCAAAGAAATTGTGCACCGAGGCTTCTGGAACCTGATTGGCTCTGGTCAGACGCTTCTGAGACAGATGTGTGAAGTCTGCGCCATAGCCATGAGCCTTGTGGCTTACTTCATCAACAGCATAATCAACATCTGCCTCATTGGAACTCAGAACCTTTTTGCGGTGGGGCTGGCCCTGTGGGATACTATAGTTGGCCCCTTTCTGAGGATCACGGACCTCCTGGTTGCCTTTCTCGCTCGCCTCTCCAGCAGTGCCATTGCTACGGCCATTCTCCTGTGGACTCCCTGCCAGTTGGCCGTTGATCTCCTGGCCTCAGTGAGCAAGCTGCTGATCAATGTCTTATTTGTCAACCTGTATGGCATGGTATTGCTGTCTGCAATTCTTGTCATCAGCATCTTCATCCTGAACCCTCAGCTGACTTGGACCCTGGCAAACCAAGTGGCCGACTATTTGAACACGATGCCTTCCTACCATCGCTTGCTCAGGGACATGCAGCGCCTTTATCACATCATGCTCTTGTCCTTGGAGATGCTGTTGAGCTCTCACACCTGGCGTAGGTTGGCAGACTGGGGTCTTGAGGTGCTTAGTTGGAACAGGAACATCTGGGCAGCTGACCAGCAGGGAGAACAGCAACCACAGCTGGTGCTTGAAGCTCCCCAAGAAAGGGCAGGGGGAGCTGCCGTGGCACAGAGACTGGCTCTAGAAGAACCATATCCACGGAGACAAGGGCCAACTGGGACCCCACGTCCCCGCCAAAGAGGCAGCAGGGACCAGACCAGAATGGACAATGATCTGGGAACAGCCACACAACAGCCTCAGGGGGAAGGACCAAGTGCCTCCCAGACCAAAACTGCAAAAAAAGAGCAGCTAAATGCTTTGGAAGAAGACAACGACCCTTGGCGGCTTCTTAAAGAACAAGAAGACCGGAAGAAGTGTGTCATTTGCCAGGATCAAACCAAGACAGTCCTCTTGCTGCCCTGCCGGCACCTTTGCCTGTGCCAAGAATGCACTGAGATCTTGCTGCAGCAGGCCATCTACCAACGCAACTGCCCACTATGCAGACAAATGATCCTGCAGACTCTCAACGTCTACCTGTGAGCTCTGCGAGAAGCAGCTTTTTGCCAAAGCACAAGAGGTCCCTGGCCTTTGGACCTCTGTAACAGCTGGTAAAGGCTCTCCGTGTCAAACCCCCCCCCCTTTTAAAAAAAATTCCAGGGACACTAGTTGCAATTAGCGGAACCTGAAAAATGCTATGAATTGTTTTTTGCACTTCTGTTTTTATGGTTTCTTGCTTTCATAAGGGAAAAAGAAAACACCCCAATTGCTGATCACAGTTAATAGTTGGGAAACTTCCTGTTGTGAGAGGTGATGGTGAAATCGTGCCCATATTCAGATGTGAGGCTAAAAGAGTCTAATGGCTGTTTTTCATCCAGAGCACAAAATGCACAGGTGCTGGATTCCTGATATGTTGGGTTTTCTATCAATTGGTGTTTGGAACAAAGATGTCTGTAGGGGACATAGCTGATAAACAGGTCTGAAAATATGAATAAGATAATTCTGCCTCTATTATTGGAGTCAGAATGTCTCCTGCCACTCTTTATTTTTTAAAGTTCATTGTAACTTCACCTCTGGATAGTTTTATTGATCTCTGTAGAACATTGCCTGACTCATGTAACACACTTATTATTAAGTTCTGCTTCTAGAGAAGTCTATACTTCCAAACCTTGATCTGCAAGAGTTTGGTGCTACCCACCGAAGGGGATGTTAACCTAGTGTGCATTTATCACAGCCATACATTGTAAAGTTTCACAAGGCACAATTAATGTTTTAGATTATAGTTCTTACTGACCATCTCGATGTCCAGTTTTATACCATGAGTCCAAATATTATTTCCAAGACTCTATGTATGTTTGTCCAGATTCCTGAGAATATAAGCTGGACACTGTGTAGCTGTGACAGCAGGTAGATGCTTCATAGATTAGTTTATTACACTTAAGGAAGATCGTATTCTACCTATCAGCATGCAATTTCCACAGGTTATCTATGCAAAATAGTACATTCCAGCTCTGTTGCACAACTAATTCCCTTCCCTCCTCTTTGGAGGATAATTTTGGGAACCTAATAGCACCAACTACAGTTTGCTAGCTAGCAAATGGCTCTTATAAGCAGCAGTGGAAGGTAAAAGTGAAATGGATGGGTTTGGCCAGTGAAAAGGCTTTTTACGATTCCTAATCTGAACTGGTTTTAGAACACAAAGTAAGTTCTTGATGTCATAATTTAATTCTGGAAAGCAGAGTTGCTGGGGCTTCTAAGGAGACATTGTCAATCAGGGGTGTCCAACCTTGTTGGCTGGGGAATTCTGGGAGTTTATGTCCACAGGTCTTCAAGCGACCAAGGTTGGGTGCCCCTTTTGTAGATCCTGCAAGGGTAATTCTAAGTAAAGAAGGCAGTTGTGGTTACAGTGGTTTGCTTGACTTTTGGGTGAAGAGAGATTGTTGTTTTGAGAGGCAGTCATTAAATATCAAACAGGATTGCTTCGAAAGCCAGCCCTGAGTGTGCCAATTGTTGGGCGATAAGTGCACCCACCTAGTAGAATCAGTTGTTTTCTTTAATATTTTAATTGGAAAAAACATCTTCAGGCTAAAATCCTGAAGATATTTGTTCTGTTTTTTGTTTTTTGTTTTGGAATGGCTGAATTATTGATAGCTGTTCCTTCTCTAAATGGAACTTGGTTGAAACCGCAGCGCACAATGGCCGGATCCCAGCTATGCAAATGGGCCAAATTGAAGTAGCCTTTGCAGAGGTGGGGGTTTGAGAATGTGGCACACTTGCATGGAATCCAACCCTGTTGATTTTAGGAAGTGTATCTTTTCCAGGAAGGTTTGCCGAGAAGGCTAAAGCATCCTGTGGAAAAGTCGGGTGCCTCTAACACAGGCTGGGAGGGCAGGGCTCAGTGTCTGTCTTGAGTAACGCATTTTCAGAAACTCTGCTTTTGAGATTGTTGCTTGACGTATCTTTGGAGATTGTGCAATTCAAGTCCAAAGCCTTCAGGGCACTAAACCTGCCTTTGCACAAAGCAGATTTTTCCAGCATTAAAAAAACAACAACAACCAGAGTTCCTATCCTGCTAGACTGGGATGCCAAAGTCAGCTGTAAACATTCTCAACAGCAGGTTTTGAATGTGTGCCATCCAAATTCAAGGAAGAAATCTCTCCGTTGAGAAGATTTATCATCCATTTGCAAGAGGAACATTGTATAAAGTGGAATTTGCTGCTGTCTGTGTTTCTCTGGCTACAGGTGTATAAGGATCACAGCTTAGGCCTCTGCTGTCCTTTGACCAATCTTGGCTACATTTTTCACCTACCTGAACCATTTGTTTTCTTCCTTCAAAACAAAAGGAGGAGCTATTTTTATTCATGGAGGCAACTGGTTTTATTTTTTACTGCATCCGCAGCCAGGGAGACATTAAAACCCCAGCCATCATCTATGCTGGTTTTTAATTTTGTTTTACTTGAAAATAAAGTTGTTTTCTTTTTCTAATCTGATTTTAAACCTTAGAATTAAATTGGCAAAACAGTGCTTGACTGTAGCAGAGAACCGAGTTCCTTTTATTTTGGGAAAAGCTGCAGGATTCTCAGGAGTTGGAGGGGTAAAATGAGGGAATTGACCAATTGCTAAACTGAGTGCCTTAATGCTGGCAGTGCTGAAGGCCTGTGTTTGTGTGCATGCAAAGAAGGGGCTGTTCAGGTCAGGGAAGAGAAATCCAATGTGAATAGCAGCAGGCTGGATCCAGAGATATAACTGGGGTTAACATCATAAATAAAATAGGCTGTACAGCTTCCAGATGCAAGGAGGGACTCCTCTTTTTATAACACTCATGCTTTTTGTAAATGCTTCTTATAAATTAAAGACGGGGACTCTAAAACAGACTTCCACCACCCAGGAGCCAAATAGAGGTGATGGTTTAAAGCAGGGGTCTCTCTCCAGACTTGGGAACTTTAAGACCTGTGGACTTCAATTTCCAGAATTCCCCAGCTGGCCATGCTGGTCTAGGAGTTTTAAGTCCACAAATCTTTAGAATTGCCAAGCTTGGAGGCCTCTGCGTTAAAGGCTTCTAGTGACCCACCTGGGACAGCCCAAAGACTTAGGTTCATCTTCTCTAAAGGTTACTAGGCCTGGGAGGGTAATGCTATACCATCTTCCTGAATTTACCTGGGTTCAGGGTTGGGAGATGTACCTTGTTGTTTAATCCAGTCCTTTTTACCTGCAAACTAGGAAGGGCGTTCTCTTTTTTTTTTTTTACGTTTGATAAGGCTTTGCGCATCCTGATCTGTACTTGAGGATTTCAGAGAAGTTAGAATAAAATATATTCTTCCTTGCCTGTCTCTGAAGAATGTCCTTTTGGTTTTATTCAGCCTGTGAATGTTTATCATGTGCAGGTAATTCCACGGTGCCGACCGTAGAGGTAAAGTTGGAGAGAGGAAAAGATAAGTGTAGTTTTAACAGCAGAAGTGCCTGCTCTGCTTGTAAAGAGGCCGCCGCTTCCTCCTAATCTGTGCCTTGTCCAATCTGCTACGCATTCCGACCCCCTTCCTGTGCGTTGTTGTGTTCTCACAATCCGACTGCCTCTCTGGAGGGACCATTTGGTTGCTTGGGTGAACTTCGCATTATGTAAACAACTTGACCAATTAAAAAAAAAAGCTTTTTTCCAGAAAATATATTCTGCTACTCTTTTTCTTTCCTAATTTTTTTTTTTCAAGAGACAACACACTCTGGGTCCTTTTTAATTTCTAAACATGTGGAAAGTTCTTTATGCTTTCCGGGCCAACAGGTTGCAGAAAGAACGTGGCTTGGGAAACGCGTGGGAATCCCAGCTAGGTTGAAAGATCAGCCTTGGGCAAATCCCTTGGGAGCTTCTGATTAGTTGAGCAAATCCCATCTACTGGATTCCTATAATATGCCATGAATCATTGCTTATCAAACACAGCTAGAGAAGGCAAATCAAAAGTACATAAAAGGCAGCTTTAATTCAATTATTTGGTAATTCGATCATATCGGAAGGAAATTCATTTTCTGTAGCTATTGGGGGTTGTAACGTCAGTATCCTTTCCTTCAGAGGGTTCCAGCATCTGAATGAAGCTTTGAGGTTGGTCCTCCCCATTCCTGGTTTTTATCCCTAATCTGTTAACTGAAAGGGAGGGTCCTTTTTCTGTATCTGTTTGAGCCATGGTGGCACAGTGGTCAGAGTGCAGTACTGCAGGCTACTTCTGCTGTTGCCAGCTGCCTGCAATTTGGCAGTTTGAATCTCACCAGGCTGAAGGTTGCCTCAGCCTTCCAGGCTTCCGAGATCGGTAAAATGAAGACCCAGATTGTTGGGGGCAAGAGGCTGACTCTGTAAACCGCTCAGAGAGGACTGCGAAGCACTGTGAAGCAGTATATAAGCCTAAGTGCTATTGCTATAGTGCTATCTTGGGTGCAGCTCTGAGTTAAATTCCAATAATTGCTTCTAGAAGGGGAAAATCCCTTTTGAAGCACAGCTGAAATCCAGCCAGACCAGATCATGAGGGTTGGGGTGGCCAGTGCGAGTCTCTGCAAAATTTGCCCAAGATGGCAAGAACCAAGTCAAGTGAGTCACTGGAATTCTCCACTAGACAAATCTGATTGGGATTCGAAGATAAGCGGAGAAAAATGCTGGTGAACTTACTAAAAACACACTCAGCCGGTGAAAACATTTATGATAGAAGAGTTGCAATCTCGGTCTCCTAAGTTATAATAGAGCTTACCCTTCAGCAAGGTCTTTAAAATCGCCAGCCTGAATTGAGAAAACTTGAAGAGGAAGCTTTAAGTCTTTTGCTGAAGTGGGTTGTATTCTGCCCCAGTTCCCTCCCTCTAATCTGATGACATCAACTTTGGGAAGTTTTCCTGGTTTTGCCCCCTCTTTGCTGTTTTCTAAGCATCTTTCTGCAAGAAACCCCATCTTCAGCCATCAAAACGAAACACGACAAGCAAAAAAAATGTAGGCGCATATCTGACCGATTTCATCTTAAATGAAAGAATCTGAACCGGACATCAGAAGAACTTTTGAGACATAGCAATCTGTTGAGGTAATCAACACACATCCAAGATAACCCTGATTTACAGTTTGTGAATTAGAACAGCGCGTCCTTTCGAAACTTGCCTCTGTGCCCTCGCTGATATTCCGTATAAAAAGCCATGTGGTTGGCTAATGACCTCCTGAACCGCTCTGTGGAAATTTCCTGAGGATGATTACAAGACCACAACAGAACATACGCAGCTTATCTTCAACAGAATCACTCGCTTTCTGCCAGAGAAAACACGGTCTGTTGAGCACCCTTGGCAAGAGATAGAGACTGTCTTGGGGCACAGCTGGAAACTAACCAAGGAGAGAACCAACCTACCACTGAGGATAAATTTCCTGACACAATTAATCACTTTCTTCCAGAACTTGTGGGTGCTCCAACACTGGAGGTTTTTAAGAGACTGGACAACCATTTTATCTGGAACAGTGTAGGTTCTGCTTGAGCAAGGGGTTGGACTAGAAGACCTCCAAGGTACCTTCCAATTCTTTTACTGTTACTCAAGCCTCCCCATTGGGGCTACTCAAACAATATAATGCTCCCCCTCTGACTGAAGAAAGCTTTGGATGGTACACGGTTGTTCCTTCTTGCCTCTTAAGGCCGCTTGGCCCCTGAAATATCAGTCAATTGGTTTTCTTAAATCATAGCCATTAAACCAAGAAACCCAGCATTTCCCAAATACATTTGTCACTCTGCTGTAGTTACTTGTTGCACCACATTCATTGCATAAACCACAATTGATGGGTCCATGCCTTCATTCTTCCATTCCCTAAAGTTACAAATAGGCTTTAATTTACGACCATTCAATGTTATGACAGAGTCTCCAAAAGCCACTTATGACCTGATTCCAGAGTTCTGACAGCCGCATGCACACTCCTGGGGTGCCACATGACTACATTTCGGCAACCACTTAGCAACGGGCTCACCTTTATGGCTGATTGCAACGTTCTACAGTCCCATGACTGATTTATAACATTTTTTTTGCCAATTTCCGGCCTTTTCAAGTGTTTTCTGACAAAAAAACAACAACAACACCCATAGGAATATAATAACTCCCTTAACGGCTGCAAAAAAAGTGAAATCGCTTCTGGTCACGTGACTGCTTCAATCACCATTGTGAGTGACAGTGGAAATCCTAGGCTCGCTTATGGTTGTAAGTTGAAGACTACCAGTATAGCCTGCTGCATTGGATATTCACTGGCTACGTGAAGCTTAGTATGATGCGTAAGACAGAATGATATCAGTGAACCACCAATCAAGGGTTGAAAGAATTAGGTTCCAGTGTGTTTGTGTGTCTGTTTCTCTCTCTGTCCCTGCAGGGAGGGAACTATTTTGTCCTTAAAATATTTTGGTCCCAATTTCGTACCACAGACATCAGTATCACTGCAGCCTCCTTCCTCCAAACACCAGTTCTGGGGTTCATACGTGCAATTAATTCTTCCACCACTGCATCAGCAATCCAAGATCTACATAAATTCCCATGAGTGACCAAGGGAATTCTGGAGGAGGAAACTGTCTTTGTGCTGGGCAGCGTAAGGTCGTTTTCCTCCACTGCAGCCTTTCTCGATAAACATTCCTCCTTTTTTTTCTCATCCAGCTGAAAGCCCCTTTTTGGAAAAAAAATTACTTTGGGGGGGGGGGGATACGAGTTCAAATATCAAATCCTTTTTTTTTCCTCTGGATAAACTGTCCTCTTCCTCATTCTATATCTGTGTCTATTTATAATGGAGGGTAGAATAAGTTCTAGTCCCAGTGGAATTGACTTTTTTTTTTAAAAAAAAATAACCCTTTCAAACATGGGAACAAGATTTTAAAGCAATCCTCAAAACATATCTGATTTGGCACTGAATCAAGAACATTAAGCGGCTTGCGACAAATCCTTGCCTTTTTGCCTTGTGTGTCTGTTTATCCTAGATGGTGTTTTGCAAACAGGTGACAATCACTGCTGGGATTCCAAGTTTCCCTGCCATTTTTCTCTTCACGGCTCTATTTCCAGCAGCTATAAAGCAGAGCTGGGCACTTAGTTGTGAGCCAAGGTTGTGTTTGCCATAATCCATGAGGTTGTTTCTAGGCGGCGCTTCCCATGGTGTATAACCTGCGTGGGCGCTTAGGCCACCTGCAAATAAATGAGATGGTCAAAACTGTCACCTGTTTGGCTAATCTTTGGAAACAGCTTAGTTGAGGATACTCTTTTTGGACCTTCTGTTTCCTGGTCCTGTCTTGCCATAGCAGAGCAGGGTGTCCATAGAGTGTAGCCAAAATCATGTTCGTGGCCTGCCCAGGGCAAGAAAGCTTTCCCATTTCTATGGGCATTGGATATGCGGCACACTGCTGGATTGCTGTCCTCTCCATGCCTAAGATGTGGGAAGAGAAAGAATGCCTTCCACAGAAGAGGACCACAGAAGAAGACATGTCAGCCAACATCTCACCGATGTTGAGATTGAGCATTCAAGAGCGAGGAAGGATGAAAATGTTTCTGTTTTCTTGGATATAAGTAGTTCCTGACTCACTTGAGAGACGAAAGAAAAGGGAGAACTGGTGAGAAGAAGATGGGGAAAACTTTATGCCCATGCTGTTGACTGAAGTAACATTGTTCTGCTGATGCTTGTGAATCATTGGTTGCTATCATGCAGAAATGACAGATGAAATCACTTAATGCCTGAATGTTCACCAGCTGCCCATTTGTTCCAAGTTGTCGCTAATATTCTGCAGAGAGAAAATTAAATATTTTTCTCTCCCAGAAACTCTATTGTTAAGTCAATGTTTACTCATTGCTCGGTTCCTCTACAAGGAACAAGAGGCGGAAAATACCGATAGATACTGACATGTAAATCCTTTTTTGGAAAAAGTTCTGAACTTTCGATTCCGGAGCACAAAGCAGCCATTAAATAGCTAACCGTCCTCAGTGATGGAACATACCTTGATGGATAAAAATGGGTTTTCTGCACAATCTGGGGCAGGAAGGCGAGTGAGAACTTGACCTCTTCCAGTTTCTCATGAAGTCTTCTCTTGCAGATCCACCGTGAATGGTTTCTGCAGACCTGGAAAAGCCACAAATGAGCTACTCAACATTTGTACATGTTATGAGCGGAGTAAATTAGCAACAGAGTTTTCCCTTGCTGGTTTTCCACAGGAAAAGTTGAGACTCTTCAAAGCTGTCCCAGATACATATTTTTCTCCTGGGACGGAAGAAGATATGCAGCTGGGCCTCCCAACAGAGAGAGGTTCCCTTGTGGGAATGGGATGAGAGAGATCCAGTCGGACATCCTCGCTCAAATATTGGAGCCCCCTGAGGGATTTGGGGGGACTTTGCTCCAACTTTGATTTTTCAGCCCATGCTATCTTGCAGAATTATTAGTGTTAAACCAAAGGTAATGAAGCCTTGCCCTGCCTTATCAGTACTGTAAAAACTAGGTAACACCATGGGAGTAATAATAAAGGTGTCAAATCCACCTTCTACCATCTTGTAGCCATAGCTCTCAAAAAGTTCTTGAGAACTTCCAAGGAGGCTTTCAGAAGAGACAGTTAGTTGGCTTCCTATCTATCCGGGAACTAACGTGGCCTCAACTTTAATGTCATGTAAAAGGAAGATGGCTCAAATC